CTTTACAAAAATGAAAGACATTAAGAAAAATGCATTTTAAACAGTCATTAAAAAGCAACATAATCTTCCTGCATTGCAATTACTCCAAACGTGTAATAACGTGCTTTAACCAGTAGGAGGTGCGGGTTAAAAAACTGTCAAGTTTAAAGTGTTAACAAAATAAAATATATTGCTGTTTCTGGTTTAGTTTACGACGGATATATTTAGTTATTGTTTTGATATTTGTAACAAAAGCGATGGAAAAAACCCACAGTAACACAGAAAAGATGGTCTTAACATGACCCAGCGGTCTAGTAGTTAATAAAAAACAATAATATCAAAACAGATTATTACTACTAACTTTATTGTGAAATTAAAACAGAACGGTAAAAGAATAGTTTCCGGTCTATTCTGATGCCCGATCTCTGTAGATAAATAAAGAACTACGATAGATGTGTAATATTTAATGCAGCCAAACCATTTATTACAATGCATTAATGTGATGACTTTCAAAGAGTAAAGCAAGCACTGCTGAATAAAGTATGATTTTATCTTTTACGAAACGTTTTTTTTCATATGGAATGCAGTTGGAGGTCAACCAATCACAGAGCTTGAGGACTGATCACGGGGTTTGTCAAACAGAGCACATGGTGTAGTCCCAAACGATAGCTGAGGATTCTGGGTAGTGTAGTGTCTTCTGCCATCCAAAAACTCCGAACAAATATTCGTTTCTCCGAATCGAAGGGGAAAATACAAAAGCATTGTACACAATTTAAACCAATCAATGTTGTGTAATTAACAAGGATAATCTGGTGTTTTTGAGTTGATGAGTAGTTCAGATATCACTGTAAAATCAATCGACAGTAAGGAGAATACTTACTTCCGGGTGTAAAATTCTCCGTTATCCAATGGGAATGGATGCTCGTAATACAATAAAGGGGACATGATCATTATCTTTTAAATAACGTTAACTAAAGGGAACAATCTATTGACACAGCTGAAGCTCTGGCCTTCCTTAAAAACTAACTAATTTAATAAAAATCACAGTTGTATTACACACAATGCACTGTTTTTTGAGAACAAAAATGTGTGACTAATGCACCATAATACATTCTGACGACAAATAAAAATTATTATGAATACAAATAAAATAAAAGAAGCCTCCTGTGAGTTACTACAAGCTATAAAGTAGATTTAAAAAACGTTTTATAGAATAAAAGCTCACTGCGGGACGTTGTAGAAATGCGTGTGTGCACCACGACAAAAGAGCCTCATTCACTTTACATTGGGGTTTTTTGCGTGGTGCCGACACGTAAATGTAGCAGAATGCGTGACTCCACCACGCAATGCGGTGTTAAGGTTGCGTGGTGGAGTCACGCATTCTGGTGAGATCAGGTTGGTGTAGTTGTTGATACATTGTTTTTGAGCATGTCATAAGCATGTTTTGTCTTGACTATATTACAACTATATTATAATAAAACAATATAGTATTTTTATTATTGAATTAATTATGATTATCATTATTAGTAGAAGTAGTTTATTTGCATTAATTATGTTTTTATCTTTTTGAGGCTAGTATTTGGCAGGAAATGCAAAATTCACCTGTAAACCCATACTGAACGACATACATGCACATTTACCATTTACCTCACTGTATAAAAAAGTAAACCGTTGATAATAATAATAAACAGGAATTATATTTGCAAAGTAGCCTACTTGTTTCCAAAAAAAAAAAGTTCACTCCTGTCGGTTGGGGGGGGGGGCCTCATCTCACAATGTCGCTTCGGGCCCCAAGTTGGCCAGGGGCGGCCCTGTATACACACATGCATTTCCAAACATTTGGACTAGCTATGTTGCAAATGTATTATCTTTTCAATTTACACACGGCATCTATTGCACGTCTGTCCGTCCTGGGAGAGGGATCCCTCCTCTGTTGCTCTCCCTGAGGTTTCTCCCATTTTTCTCTTTAAACTGTGGGTTTTCTCCGGAAGTTTTTCCTTGTACGATGTGAGGGTCTAAGGACAGAGGGTGTCGTATTGTCATACTGATATTCTGTACAAACTGTGAAGTCCACTGAGACAAATGTAACATTTGTGATATTGGGCTACATAAATAAACATTGATTGATTGATTGATTGATTGATTGATTGATTGATTGATTGATTGATTGATTGATATTGCATTAGGTTGCTCATTTTTATATTCACTTCTTGTTTTTATCGAAAGTACAAGTGAATTAAGTGTTCCTCTCTTGTCATTCTCAGGTTCCTAACATATTGAAGCCAATTACGTTTTAACGTTTACGTTTTCTGAAAATACACAAGTAAAAGTTCTGAATGCAAAATAATACTTTTGTAAACAAACATAAATATAATCATCTAAATATACTAACAGTATCAAAAGTAAAAGTACTCTATACTGTATGCAGAATGACTCTTTTCACAATATTATATTTTCATATATCATATTATCCTATATTTTTAATCAATATCGGGGCATTACATGTTAAAAATACTGGTTTGTATTTTTGTATGATATAGTACAGCACTGCATCATATCAGCATATCACATGTTTTTATATGTCAAAAGTAAGTAACTATGAGTGTAAATGAATGTAATAAATCGAGTATAAAGTATAGGCTACAATAATTGCCAATAAAATGTGGAGTATAAAATAGCATAAAATGGGAATTCTCAAGTAAAGTGAAATGATGTCTGTAAGTATTGTACTTGCGTAAAGGGGTATATGTAGGCGGCCTACAGTATGTGAATGCTGTAATTATCGATGACGCAGCGCTTTGTTATGCGCCGTTGCTCCCTCTTGTTGATTGCAGGCGCGCGCAGATGTGGTGCTGTTCGTGGTGCTGAAACGCTGGGACGTCGGTGGACTGATGCATTATTCATGACTCATGGCGAATTCCAAACATTCAGTATTTGGACCGATGTGCAGAGCTGTATCCAGTAAACAACCCTATATGAGGAGGACAATGCATCGGTCAATGAGACACATGGTTGGAGAGCTCTGGATCTCCAACGTATCTGCTGCAGGATAAAAACTTGTGCTTCCCTTACCAAAAACGCACAAAACCAAACGTCCTTCAAATGGCTGATGGCTGATTTACTGCTGTTGTTATACCCCGAGACAAATGCGGTGGCAGTTTGCATGCTGCTCGGGTATTTCTGAAGTGCAACATCGTGGTGTTGGGGGGGGGGGGGGGGGGGTGGTTGCATGGCGACACGATGCATATAAAGCCGTGTGTCGTTAGGTAGTATAGTGAAGCCGCTGTTTATTATGTGCTTGCTGGACACGACTCTTCTTCCGTTTGCTCAGCAGAGGAGCTGTGACGCGTTGAGATCACACCATGCAAATGAGAACTGACTTCCCATCCTGCCCCTCTCTCGCCACACACACATTCTGCCTGCTTTATATCCCTTCCAGAGCAGTAGTGGCTGGCAGAGAGAGAGAGAGAGAGAGAGAGAGAGAGAGGAGAGAGAGAGGAGAGAGAGAGAGTAGAGAGAGAGAGAGAGAGAGAGAGAGAGCAGCGTAGATCTCTAGAGATCGAGAGAGATAGGAGAGATAGATATGAGAGAGAGAGAGCGATCTCGAGAGATATATATCTCTAGAGAAGAGGAGACGCTTATATAAGCACCAGCTATGGGGAAATGCTGGCGAGAGACCCTTCACTGGACACTAATCGTAGGCGGGGAAAACCAAAGCCATCGTAACGGCATAACTGATCCGCGATCGAACCGCAGGAATGATGCCAAACCTCACGCAGCACGGCTGAAGTAAAGCTGCATGGTTTAAAACAGCTTCTTATATGGTGGAAACACAGTTGAGTGGTTTTTTAAGATGGAAGACCTCGGATTTTTAAATAGGTGATTCGTTTTACTCTCGCAGCTTATTGATTTCTCTTTCAACACCGCATCCAAACAGGATCGTTTAGCGTAAAAAACCTGGAGTTTAGCATAATTTGGGCACTCGGGCTTGATCAGAGAGTCATTGTGCAAACTGTTGCTTCTATCCTCGGGAGCACTACCGCACCCCTACTTTTTGGTGGTGGACGGTGGTGGTGGGGGGGGGGAGGTACAGTTGGGGACTGAAGACGAGAGGCCTGAGAGGAGAAGTGGAGCTGAAGGGCATGACGCTGTGTGACGAACACCGACTCACCGGGGTGATAGATGGATATCACCATTGAGAAGAATAGATTGTGTCACATGGGAACCTGGGGGACTTCCAGGAGACCATGGTGACAGAGGAGGCGGGGGTCAGGGGCTGGCCCCCCCCCTCTTCAGGCTTCATGAAACACTGCCAACACATCTATCATGTTTTTCTTTAATCACTTATTAATCTTTCCACAGATTGTCTGCATAATCCTCATTTCATAAGCGCTCTCCTGACAGTGTTTTATCACATTATGTCATTTGACTGGGATGACTGAGATTTAAGAATACATATGATCTGACTGTGCTGGAGCTGAATGAAATCCCTGTATTGAAAAGAAGATTCCGTTTGAAGCAGTATTAGTAAATTGGTCTCACCCTTCTCCTTAGCATTCGGAAACAAGTAGATTGTTGCTTTTATTTGCTTTCAGTGGTCTATTGTTTTTATTATATGGCTGTTATTTATTTTTAAATTATTACGTTTATTCTGGTTTGTTTTGTGTTTGAATCTTGTATTTTAAATGTATTTATATTATGTTGTGTGAGCTTATCTCTCTGTACAGCACTTTGGTCTGAAGGTTTTAAAGTGCTATATAAATACAGTTGGATTGGATTGGATTTAAAGAGGAATGTGAAATGCAAGCCAACATTCAGAACACAGGCAAAACAGGATTTACAGGAAATGTAGAACATAACTTAAGCAGTCTAAATGAAAGAAATGGCAGGGATGAAGCGATAAAGCAGCGGACAGCGTGGGTATGGCGCATGCTGCTGCAAGATAGAAACACAAGCCTATATGTGCACATCCACTGTGAATTTAATCCGCAATGCATTTTCTTTTTGTGTGCCTCAGCTTCTCCCCGAGGAGCATCCTGGAGTCGGTGAACACGGCCTTGGATATTAAATCCCTCTCTGTTGTGACACATCCATTGTTCCGCTGCTGCTGTTTGGACAATGAAGAGCCAACACACCATTACTTTACCAGATGCTGCAGGCCTTTCCAAGATTATGAAGTAGATCTCCTCACTCCTAATCCATGACATGGCCTTCCACTGAGGTGAGAGCAGGATGTTGGCACCCCCCTGCAGACTGTACTGCCTGTTGAAGCGTGCTCAGATGCTGCTGCTCGGCCTTGGCATCGCCTACCTGATGGCGGGCAGCATCCTGCTCCTGCAGCGCTCCAGCATCAGAGTCACACAGCCCAACCTGGCCAGCCTGCCGCCTCTGCTGTCCCTCGCTGCCCCCCCCACTGCCCTCAGGCCCGCTGGCCTGGGCGTGAGGACGCGCTCCAGATGGGCCTCCGTTCAGCCCCAGTCTGGAGGGGGGGCCAAGGCCAGCAGACACTGGCCTGCGTCCCAGCGCCTGGGGGTCCAACACTTGCATCGGCGCTGGTTCCACAGTCTGCTGCCGGAGAGCCCGGAGCAGAGAGCCCCTCTGCACAGCAGACATAAAGGTACACATTCATTCATATATTCAAAAAACGATGCATATTTTGATGTTAATGTCCTTTTCATGTTTATTAAATGCTTATTTCAAGTAGGTCAAACAGTAAAAGCTGTGACGTCCATCTTAATCTTGAGATGGCGCCTCTGCTTTTGGAGGATAAACATGTTTTGACCACAGGCAAATCCTAAATCCTAAGAGTCAGTGAAAGCCAGGGAGACTTGGCAGAACTCAGGGTGGTATGCATACATATATTATAAGGTTTCTGTAATGACTTGGAATCAAACCTCCAGTGTTGCAAGACATCTGTTCCAGTGTTGCAGTATCTTCATTTTTGTTTCCAATCAATGCCATCAAAATAATTTCCTTCACAATACTGACCTTACAGATGTTTCTCTTTCAACAAACTTAACAGTTCATATCATAGAGAGAACACATTGAGTTGAGAGAACAATTGTAAGGTGATAGTCCACTGAATACTACTTTTAACAAGATGACCCACTCGCGTGCTTTAACCATCAGTTTCTTTGGTGGTCATCTAAATCTCAGGGTCGTCTGATATCTGCTGATATGTAACCTGACAGACAGGGTTTGTGTTTTGCTCCGCCTACAACATCTAATGTGATTTGCCAATCTCAACTGATCTTGTATATCTGTAGCCAAGGTTGTGTACCTCTATTAGCGTTAAACAAAAGCAGACATTGCAACATGAGTGAAAAAGCCTTAACGAGGACATATTTAGCTTATTTCATATCAGTATTTAGTGTCTCCACTGTGACATGTCTCCATGTTCAAAAAGCTCTTTACTTTTCTCACACTGCCTGTGCTGCAGCACCTCTTTTCACCCTCTGTCTGAAACCAGAGCCCAGTCTGCTCTGATTGGTTAGCTGGCCGGCTCTGTTGGGATTGGTCAACCGCTTAGAGATGTCCCGCCCCTTAGCCAATCACGTACAATGTGTTGGAGTGCTAGCAAATATATGAGTGAGTGTTACTTAGTGATGTCACTATGATACATAAGTAAACAAAGGAGTCCAATGGAGGAGTTTCAGGCTGGGGGGGGAGTGTGTGGGAGAGAAACACCATTCACAGACCATTCACATGCACAGAAACCTATATAACACACAAAGAGGAAACCCTAAAGAAGCATTATAGGGCCTCTTCAACACGACCCTGCTTTCTGAAATACAACGGGGGAAAGAGGATATGTGAGAATAAAGATATGTTCCTGATGAAGATGTGTTTACTGAGACGCTGGTTTTCCTGGTGAATAATAGATGAAGAAGCAAATAAGCAACTCTATCTTCTATTTTGTGATTTACTTGTTGAGCTCAGGTGGCCTGGAGCTCTCTCCCAACAGCATCGTTGACATTTATGAAGAGATAACCCTGATCTCAGAACAGTTAGAAGAGGGTCATTATACATTTATGTGACATTTTACTTGTTGGTGCTTCAGATAATGTTGATGAGGGGTGTTGGGGAAATCATTCCCAAGGCCCATAACTTTCACCCAGTTTATCAGTTCAAACTGTCCTGACTGAGCACACGCACCTGTAACCTTGGCTGCTGTGCTCTCAGTGTTCTGTCTCCCTGTTCCTGCCTGTTGGCGTCAGCTGATAGAGGTGTTATCATTCTATCTTATTTTGCACAATGTTGATTATTCTCTCTGAACTAGCTAAATACATGGGTCTGGGGTAGAGTTCTTCAGAATTGATTGTGGCATCTCAACCGTGTGGTCAACTCGTGGCCCGTGACATGTCTTGTGAATTCTCCGGCCGAAGCTCCAAATAAACCGTCAGTGTTTGCCATCAAAGCTCCAGCTCTCCTCGTGTCTCTCTGACTCCTGACTCCTATTGCTTCAGAGGTTTCCCCCACAAGGGGTATTGCTCACGACTCCTCTGTAAAAAAGAGAAGGAAAAACAGGCAAGCACGTGTTTCTTTTTGATAATACATTAGTATTTCTCATTAGTAATCTTGAATAAAACCTTGATATTAGTCATTTCTTGCACTCACTAAGCCCTAACCATTGTTCTTCCAGCTTCTTTAAAAGCCTCTCAAGAGCTCTTAGTCCTTCTTCTGAACACACAATACAAGGCCCCTCAGTCACCAAGAAGGCAGAGGTGGAGAAAGTACTCAGTGACTTTGTATACTGCAGTGTAGCTTGTGAATTGACTACAGGTGGAACTAAAGTCAGATCTAAGTGTTGATTAGATTTCACATCATAATCCAGATCTGTAAAGTAACTAAAGGTACTAAATACATGTAGTAGAGTAAAAGTATACGATTTACCTCTGAATTGTAGTGGAGTAGAAGTACAAGGTATAGCAAACAATTGAAATACTCAAGTAATGTACAAGTACCGCAAAAGTGTACTTAAATACAGTACCTGAGTAAATGTATGTGTTACTTTACACCACTGGCTATATACAGTAGTATACATACATTGATGGAGGCAGGAATTAGATCAGTTTCAGTTACAGCCATCTGGTAAAGGTTCCTTTTGAAAAGTATTTCCCATGAAACGGAAATAAATTACCCAGCTTCACTGTTTTATTCAAATCAATCTTTATTCAATGTAGTTTTACCGTCAGCTTTCAAACTGTATTTTGCCGTTACAACACACAGCCAGATGGAAAGGTGTGCCAATGCATTGTAATATATTCATAGATCCATGGGTTTACCAATTCCTTTTCAAACATTTTATATATACATGAGACGCGGGCCAGTCTTTGTGTCTGCTGCTGGAAACCTTGTGCCTCGCAGGGATGAGTCACAAATTCCTTGGCATGTAAAGTACATATTACATGCCCAGAGATGTGACAGGAATCAGAACGGAGAAATATTACAGGGGTTGCTCAGTAAAAGCCGCACTTTTAATTTTGTTATGCTCGTTCTTTTCTCTGCAGAGTTTTAGGTTGTCGGGAAGTGCAGGTGATTGGGTTTTAGATACAGGCGTAGTTTCCACGGGGAATTCCCCTCCACATTTCCCCTCATTTTATTGTTTCAGGTTTGATTCAGTAATAACAGAGGTCCCTCTGAATATGGCAACAGAGAGTGATAATGCTATCGGCTAAATACATGTTATCGTAGCTTATTGGTTATGGATTTAGGGCGTAGCAACCTAAGAGGTCATCTATTGTGCAAAATCCACTTTTTCATGTCAACATGTGTCCCCTCTGTGTAAAGAGACTCTGAAAGTTTCAGGAAAAAAGATTCTCTCACTTTTTGTCCTGATTCCCCCCTCCCCCCCCCCCTTATCACCTGAATCTCCTCCTAGAGCACCATTGAGTTATTTGTAACCAAATCTCTCTCAGAGGGGCGTGGGGAGGGGCTCCTTATTTTTCATCTAAAGTAACAGACAGAGAATCAGCACTTTGGAAACAGGGCTGAAACAGAGGGGATTATGGGATGCTGCAATGATCTGTTTGGTGTTTCAGCCAATCAGAGACATCCATCCATCCATCCATCTTCTCCCGCTTATCCGTGGTCGGGTCGCGGGGGTAGCAGTTCCAGCCGAGAGCCCCAAACTTTCTTTTCCCTGGCGACATCAACCAGCTCTGACTGGGGGATCCCAAGGCGCTCCCAGGCCAGCGAAGAGATATAATCCCTCCACCTGGTCCTAGGTCTACCCCTTGGTCTCTTCCCAGCTGGACGTGCCTGGAACACCTCCCTAGGGAGGCGCCCAGGTGGCATCCTAACTAGGTGCCCGAACCACCTCAACTGGCTCCTTTCGACGCGAAGGAGGAGCGGCTCAACTCCGAGTCCCTCCCTGATGACCAAACTTCTCACCTTATCCCTAAGGGAGACACCAGCCACCCTGCGGAGAAAACCCATCTCGGCCGCTTGTATCCGCAATCTCGTTATTTCGGTCATGACCCATCCTTCATGACCATAGGTGAGGGTAGGAACGAAAATGGCCCGGTAGACAGAGAGCTTTGCCTTCTGGCTCAGCTCCCTTTTCGTCACAACCAGTGACATGTCTTATAATATTAATGAAAAGCAGTATAATAGGGGACCTTTAAGAGAATACCTGTAGACACTAATTAGGGCTGAAAAATCATGCCCATGTTTTTATTTTTACAAAATCATTTAATCTCAATTTTTAATTAATTATTTTCCTCAAAACATATGGTATAATTCAGTTACATTTTAAAGATGTGGATACAACATTATCTATACAAAATAATATAGGTTAGGGTAGGGTAACAGACATTTACATGTTCAATATGTTCTCTTTATTTTGTAATACAAGTATAACAGAGATGATCCTCTCTGTCACCCAGCCTATCATGTGTTGAGCTCAATGTAAGGTTTGTTTCAGACTGTTAACCTTCTCCAGCCGCCTTTAAGGGACACACACAGTGCACATGCTACTTGTCATTAGCCTTCTCCATCTACTCGTGTGGAGAAGAGTCAGCCATCAGTCTCAGTGTTCAGGAGAGTGACACAGTGTCAGGTCTAAGTGCAGTCATTTCCATCATGTCTGGGACTTTGGGCAGCTTCCCTCCATTAACCCTCAGCGGCCGACGCCGGGAGCTTCTCCTTCACTTTGATCAAAGCAATGACCTGCCCCCGCTGGGTGGAGGCGTTGTGGGGGGGCTCACCTTGGTGATGGCTCTTGAGAAGTTTCCTGCCCCCGGCCCTTGATATGTAAAGTACATATTACATGCCCAGAGAAGTGCAGAGGGATCAGAACTAAGAAGTGGTTGCACAAAAGAAGCCACACTTTTCTATTTTGTTATAGTCGTTTTTTTTCTCTGCAGAGATTCAGTAAGTGCAGGTGATTTGGTTTTAGACACGGGCGTAATTTCCACGGGGAATTTCCCTCCACATTTCCCCTCGTTTAATTGTTTCAGCTTTGATTCAGTAATAACAGAGGTCCCTCTGAATGTTGCGACACTTAGTGATAAAGGGAAAGCTACATGAATGTTACCCTAGCTAATTGGTCATGTTGTTTTAGTTGTTGGCAATATATCTGCAGACACTACATAGGGCTGAAAAACAATCCTGCCCATGTTTTTATTTATTTAAATAATGAAATCTCAACTTTTATATACAGTTCCTAAAGATATGCTAGAATTCAGTTAAAGATTAAAGATGTGAATAGAACTTTATGTATCAAAAATCAAATGTTTTAGAGACAGACATTTAGATTTTCACCTAACATTTTGTCTTATTTTTGTTTTAAGTGATTATCCCTGACCCCTGCTTGGGTCAGCCTACCATGTGTTCAGCTCACTGTAAGGATATTTGAGATCAGCAGTGAGACAGTTAACCCTGTCCAGTCCCCTTTAATGGGCACAGACAGTGCACATGCTACTTGTCATTAGCTGGAGTCAGCTCCACAGCCATCAGTCTCAGTGTTTGAGAAAGTGACACAGTGTCAGGTCTAAGTGCAGTCATTTCCATCATGTCTGGGACTTTGGGCAGCTTCCCTCCATTAACCCTCAGCGGCAGGCTCCTGGAGCTTCTCCTTCACTTTGATCAAAGCAATGACCTGCCCCGCTGGGTGGAGGCGTTGAGGGGGGGGCTCACCTTGGTGATGCCTCCTGAGAAGCTTCCTGCCACAGACCTCTCAGTGCCTTCCAGCTGCTGTGTCCTCCAGTGTTTGTCTCCAAACAAAAAGAGCAGCTTCAGAGGACTGTGCAGACTGATTGAATCACAAATTCGATATGCTGATGCTCGGCCTGCCAGAGATTTCATGGTTCATTGCTTGTGTCCCATCGTGTCGGTGCACCTTGCTGCGTTTCCTCCAACCCTTTAAAATCCTCTTCGTCCAGTTGGCATCAGTTCATTTTTATGCTAATAGGAGACATAGAAAGCTGAATCCTCAATGACTTTGAAGCCTATAAAACATCAATGAATACAAATGCATACAAAGGTTTGGGAAATAAACCTAAAAGCAAACATTGGGAAATTGCCAAAAGAATCTTTCACCTGCCTGGGCACAACATGCACTCAATGACAAAATCCTCTGGCATGAAACCTAAAAATATCATGTTCTCCGACCCTAGGGACGAGATGTAAATTCATCTGCAACAAGAAAGAAGTGCATGCACTACCCTCCACTCAAGTGATATTTATAAAACATACTTTTATGTGTCAGCTGAGTTTATGTAGCAGTGTGAAAAGACAAGGATAACATCAAAGACTGTATGGGTGACATTTTATATGGAGCCGTAATCTTGTCAGCACATCATAGTTTATCGTCGCCTATTATGTGTTTTATTTTAGTTTCCACAGGAACGATTTTTATTCTAGTGCAAGTAAAACACTCTCCCAGAAACATCAAAATCCAAATCATTGACATTGATTGATAACAAAAAAGGCTTAGTCATGTTATAAATAAGTTGGTTATTGTGGCTCGCAATACAATCTGGTGTGTAATAAATAATAATAACTATGAGGCAATTATTCTTTTGTAATATTTTAATTTATCGTCTTAAAAGATGCACTTTGCTCAGAATAGGTACAAACCCAAGTATAGGAAAGTCACAACAAAGACACAAAAAACAAAACAAAGCTGAAAAAAAACAATATTAGAGTTGAATTGAAGCTGATTACAAAGCAGTGATGTGCAAACAGAGGGTTGGAGATGTAGAATTTGTATAATTATTATAAGGAATTCCCTCAAATGTGTACTTTCTTTTTTGCAAATGTTTAAAATAAGAAAAATGTCCACCATACATTTTATGTTAACCTACTAATGAATTCATTGAGGGATCATTTCAGAACACCATGCCTCTTGTAACATAAACACACTTCTCAAGTTGACCCTTGTCATTGTGAGAACACTACAGGGAATTTCACACTCAATGGTTTTCTCTCACATACAGGAACCTACATCGGATGCTTTCTTCACAACGCTAGCGATCGAGCCCTGGGGGGGACCATGCTTTATGACCTGCGCAAAATGACCAGTTCTCTGTGTCAGGACACCTGCTCAGAAAGGTAATGCGTTCATGTGAAGGACCACAGAAGGCCTGCTGTTTGAGTAAACGCTTCGGATCTCAGTCTCCTCCATGAATGCCTCCTGTGTGTGGAGCCAGCGAAGAGGCAGGTGGCTGGATGACAGTAAAAGATGAGGGGGGGGCGGGTTGTGGTGAAGAGCAGGCTAGGACAGAAGACTTGATCTATTGCAGAAGAAGGAAAGGGGGGAAGTATGCATGTGTTAGAGCTGAATGAGCAGTTTGTGGATACATCAGATATGTGCTTCTCTGGTGAATCTCTCCGCTTTGAAATGACCGAAAGCTGAGGAAACATGCAGAGAAAGGTGGAATGTTTGAAGCCAGCTCAAGGAATGACCCACTTGAGTTATTCCTCTTATATCGTAGCAGCTGTTGTGGAAAAAGTATTCAGATTATTTACTGAGTAAAAGCACTAATACACTGAAAAAACTGAACCGCTGACTTTAATGAAATGTTTTATGTCAACAGATTTCACACACTGTATCAGGTTAGTTGAAAGCAGTAATATTAAGTTGAAACCTAATCTTTTTTTATTTAAACTTAATATAATTGCTTTCAACTAACCTGATACAGTTAAGTAAAAGTAATTGACATAATACATTTGATTAAAGTCAACATTTCAGGTTTTCAGTGTACCACACTTTAAAAATACAACATTTCAAGTAAAAGTAGTGCATCGAGAATGGAACCTAAGTAAAAGTATTTAAGTACGATTAGGAAAATATAATTAAAGTATTAGTACCCGTGGTTGTAGTTGCTTAAGTTGGATGCTTTAATATAAAATAATTATATTTTAAAAGTTTTTCCCAAGTATTGTTTGCTAAAATCTTAATTGATAAAGTAACGAGTCAATACAAATGTAAAATAAGTGTAGTGGAGTAAAGATTACAACATTGGGATTCCAAAAAGTAGCGGAGTAGAATAATAAAGTTGTATAAAATGAAAATACCCGAGTACCTTAAATCTGTACTTCAGTACAGCACTTGAGTAAATGTACTTACTTTCCACCACAGAAGCTTTGTTTCACAGAATAGCGGAGGACAGATGGAAGCAGTCACACTGAGTCTGGACTCACGTCTCAAGCCCCCCCCCCCTCCCCAATGCCCTATTCACACAGAAGCAGTTGTGCTCGTTACCTGAGTGGGCCAATTATCTCGATGAGTAAAAGTAAAAAGTCAAGGCACGGCACTTTATGAGGACGCTTCAAAAGACGTATGTGAAAAGGTCAATTTTGATTGAGTGCTCTGGCTCTCCCGAGCGGGAGGAAGAAAAGAGAGGGTGAGTCACGGCAGCCTTGATATGTAAAGTACAGATCAGAGGTGAGCGCAGATCAGAGGTGAGCGCAGTTCAGACGGAGACGGCAGCACTGGGGACAGAAACACTGTGGATTCAATGCTGGGGAATTACAATGATACGTTTAAAATGTAAGCAACGTCATATGAGATGGCTAAGCCTGAGGGCAGAGGCTTGAGGTTGTGCATTGCCCTCAGCTATAGCAATAACTGAATCTACTGTGTGTGTGTGTGTGTGTGTGTGAGTGGTGTGGTGTGTGTGTGTGTGTGTGTGGTGTGTGTGTGTGTGGTGTGTGTGTGTGTGTGTGTGTGTGTGTGTGTGTGGTGTGTGTGTGTGTGGGTGTGTGTGTGTGGTGTGTGTGTGTGTGTGTGTGTGTTAGTGGGTACCAGTTTGCAGGTCTGGAGTACGGAGCTGAGTGCCACTGTGGGAACCGGATCAGTAGCTCGCGGGCTGCGGAGGAGGACTGTAGTCTGGTGTGTCGGGGGGAGAGGGGGTCTCCCTGTGGAGGTGTGGGCCGACTCTCCATTTACAAGGTGGAGGAGCAGCTGCCAGGTCACAGAAAGTGTGAGTCACCGTCCCTCAGAGACAGGAGCTCGCTATTTATTCTGTGTACAGCCGGCTCTGTGAGAGCTGCTGACAGGAGGGGAAACAACCAGTCTATAAACTGAAATCCTTAAATCTAATAGTGTGTACACAGAAGGCTATGTCGGTAGAAAGGATGCACTTCTCAAACACATGTATAACAATGTCTGGCCTAAAACAGTGTTGAAATAGAGATCATCTCTGGGTCATTGAACTACCCCCCCCCCCCCCTCCCCAAAAAAAACACACACACACACACTGGTTGGTCATCACAAGGGGTGCTGTCTAGTTTTTTATTCTATTATGCATTTTGTAATTATTTGACTAATTCAAAAACAAATCTTTTTTTATTGCTAACCCCATTGAAAAAAACACTTTTAAAATAGATTTAAATTAAACACGCAAAACGCAAACAAAAAACACACAAAAGTACACAGACTTCCTTTCCTCCCTTTTTTTCCTCTCTCCATATTATTCTTTCCTCACCCACAAATACACACACACACATATATATATATGTACACACAAATACTAATTATTTTCAGCTTAATGTGAATGATGAGAAATAATGTATATCAACTGATATAATTATATCTTAGTAGGAAGGTACTCAAATAAACCGGCCTATTGTCAAATGTTTCCCAAAAAGTGAAACCCAGTTTGTTGCTAGGCAGATTAACTTTCAGTGGTTAACGTTACTGTACATCTTTCCATCGCTGCTCTGACACTCTGATATGCAACTCATGTCATGCATTACTCCAGCAGCTCGGAGCTATCAGCACCAGCCTTAGTGATATAATATATTCAGTATACTTATATTATATATATTCTCTGCAGTCTTTATTGTGCATAGCAATACCCCTGGTCTGTCCTCCAAACACCCCAGGACTCTGCAGTCCTTTATTATTTATTTATGTACATATTCCCTATCATGTCTATTTAAGTCCCATTTCTTGTTTTTATATTGTCTTGTTGTTGCGTGTTGGCACCTTGAGTTCATTGTAATTTTGTTGTACCTGTACAATGACAAATTAAAGATCTATCTATCTATCAGCAGCCACTGCCCTACATCACTAAATGTGTGTTCATCCGTGGCTGAAAATAGTCAACAACAAATGGACGACTAATTCATATTTGGAAAAGCCTACACAGAGTTTTAGGAAATTACTTTTCCAAAAACATTGCAACTCTTACTGAAATATTTGTCCTCAATATGAATCAATCCTCTTAAAGCCTTATACCAGCTCTTTGTCTGATGTCGGAGTTCCTTTGCCGCAAGAACATTTGTATTACAACATGTAGAAAGATTTGAGCTGTTCCTCTGAGTGATGAGGCTCTTTGCGTGCTTGCAGGGCCACTTCATGATTTAGGCTGATTAAACAGGTGCTTGTTTGCATGACGAGTAACTTCATTCTTGATTGCTAAGATCTGTATACGAATATTGCCTATGTGGAGTCTTTAGACAGAGTTTCACATTGTTTGCATGTGGCATGTCACAGATAGCTGTGATGATTCAATCTACTGTTCATTTCCTTCAAAACAACAGATAAAGAAAAACATCTCTAGAGTTGTGTATTGGCCTTGATAATCCAAACACAACATATTAATAGCTATGTGGAAAATAAGACAACACTGATTATACATTCTCTTTTCTTCTTTAAGCTATGCACCACATAATTGATGTTGGCAAGGTCAAATTCATTATAAAGGCTTCATACCATATATACATGATCAATATTCATGATTGGAGGCTTCAGTGTCTCTGGAGATTTGCAGCTGAATCTATTACACACCAGATTCAGTTAAGTGTGCAAATGTAATTAGGGCAGGAACACTTTGGAAAGGATTATTTAAATTCAGCCCTTATATAAATCTATTCACAATAGTCAACCCTCATATTAATCAATATTTCTCCTGCTGGTCAGTGCAGTTGAATCTAAGTGTATGTTATCCTGTTAAGTGTTCCACCATCTTATAATGTTGTCTGTTCCAGTCAAAAACGTGCACCACCGCGGCTGCTTCAAGTTACCGAACAGCACCATCAGCACCTTCCCCGTCTCCTCCTTCCAGCCCAACCTGACCACTCAGTCCTGCGTGGAGACCTGCACCGACAAGGTTTGTATCAGTCCTCTAAAATAACAGCCCTGGTCAGTTTGTTGCACAGATCTTCCTGTAGTGTACCAGTGTTTCTCCTCCTGTAGTACAGCAGACTCACAGATCAGAGAGCTGCCTCAGCTCCCTGGAGATCACTGGCATACTCCCTGGGTTTGCTGAATATTAACGGTTTAATGGGCCTCTAATGAGAAGTAGATAGTCTGGATTCAGCTCGGAGATCTTTCTGGAAGCAGCTGTGTCTCCTCTGAAATGAATGTGAAAACAGGAATGGCTGATAGATGTATCCATGCATGAATAAAGAGAACAGGGTACAGCATTGGGAGCCCTGTTCATTCATATGAACGTTGCTCAGTGGTGCATGGAGCCAAAAATGGCCTGACTCTGGAGAACAAAAAGTACCGGCATCATCCGGGGATCTTTGCCCATAGAGTATGCACACTTGTGTTTTCCTTGAATGCTTCCTCCAATCAAATCTAATAAATAAAGTCAAATAAATCGAGAGGGAAAATAACACTGGATTTGGATTTAGCTCAATGTTTAACGAATTAAAAATGAGCTCTTCAAGTGTTTCAAGTGAATTGTGACGTTGATGTCCCTCAAAAATATTAAACGCTGATTTACAGACGTCACTTTCCCAATCTTAGTCAATGGGGGAAAGTATTTTTGGGCCCAAACGACATCACGGACTTACCGACACTGTAATACCACCGTTTGGCCACAAGGACATTTGTTTCAACATCTGGCACTTCCTGTGGGATTGATACTGTATCATCAGGTGGTGACTTCATTCAGATTATTACCCACAATGCGGTGTATGTGGATGTGCGTTTGTGCATAGTGTCATAGTGCATTTTCACCTTCTGTTACCGGAATAATGAGAATAAGATCATCAAAACGGATGACGAAGTGATGCAGACGTCACTGCTGAACTTAGCTGACACATAAATGCAAGTAGTTAGAGAAAAATGAATACATGTTGAGTTTTTGTGTTTTTTGTTTGCAGGAGCTCCCGTTGGCTGTGTTCAAGAAGCCCCACTGTTTCTGTACATGGACGTCCTCTCTGTTCAGTCTCAACCAGCAGTGTGTGGGGGACACTGGGCTGAACCACACCAGCAACTCCACCCACACAGCAGCCCCCGAGCTGGACCACTACCAGGTGTATCACACCCCTGTGCTCGGTGAGATATGCAGCAGGGTCTTATTTGGTAAAGGAGGATGGGAGAATGTAATCATTTCCTGCCATATCATTCATTTTTAAGGATCACGCACAGCAGCAACGTTTCACACACTATTTCCTCCTGTGAAATGTTCTCTAAGATATCTGGGCCTCTGCATTAATGTTGTGTTGTTTCCTTGGGGAAATAATTGCTCTTGAAAGCAGTGTCACATCCCAAATTTAGATCAGACCTGAAATTCAACTCTGTCCCAATTTTTCACTTTTGCAACCATGCTACAATGTGTGCAACATGACTTGTTCTGCGTCATATTTTGAGAATGAGTCATTTGTGCTTCCTGCATCCACACTTTGTGATATATTTGTTTTACCCTGGTGCAGCTCTGCTTGCTAAGCAGAGTAAAAATGACAAACCCATCTCCTTGTAGACTCCAGGTGCAAAGAGAGGATGTTTCTGCCTCAGAGATCCAGCTCCCTGGTGGCTCTGTCTAGTTTTCCTGGTGCAGGCAACACCTGGGTGCGACACCTGATCGAGCTCGTGACGGGATACTACACTGGCAGCTTCTATTTCGACGGCACGCTGTACAACAGAGGTGGGGAGCTGACTGTTCAAAGAGTGTTTGAGCGAGCGCTCGGTGAAATATGCCTCGCAGCTGACCATTATTCATTCATGTATTCATGGCACCAGGTTTCAAAGGAGAGAAGGACTACTGGAAGAGTGGCCGCAGCATAAGTGTGAAGACCCACGAGAGCGGTCAGAAAGAGATCGAGATGTTCGATTCTGCCATCCTGCTGATTCGAAACCCGTACCGCTCCCTCATGGCTGAGTTCAACCGCAAGTGTGCCGGACATTTAGGACACGCTACAGACGTACAGTTGAAAAGCAAAGGTAATACAGTCCACTGCTATATTATATGCGTACTCACAGTAAGTAGGGGATGGCAATCGTAGCTCTCTTAACTCACGCAATTCAAATGAAATTGGATATACACCGAAAAAAACTGAACCGTTGACTTTAATTAATTGTATCATTTCAACAGATTTCAAATAACTGTATTAGGTTAGTTGGAAGCAATACTATTAAGTAAACATTTTTATTTTAAAATAATACATCTAATTAAAGTCAATGTTTTTTCAGTGTACACTCATACAATATGGCATCCACTAAGTACACAATGTTATACACTTTGTTAAGTACGGCACACACTACTGTAAGTACATTCTACAATATGTGCACATTGCCATACACTACATTAAGTACAATAGGGTGTATACCATGTACACTTTACATACACTATGTTCAATGCAGCAATACACTACGCCCTACATTACATAGACAGCTGCACACAGCATGTACAATACTCTGTACACTGGGCTATCACACTTTGTTTACCCCAGTGACCTCTGGTAACCACAAACGCAACTCTTGTCCCCTACTTACAATATGCCAAACACTAAATACACAATACTATTCAGTACACTATGTTCAACATGGCATACAGTAAGTAGTAAAGTAAATGATTCCATTCAATGTGTAGAAAATGCCACACACTGACAGGAGATGTAATTGCTACCAAGCCAGGATCTATTAGTGTTTGCACATTCGTAAGTGGTCACAGATATTACAGAACTTACACCATTTGCTGTTATTGACTCTTTGAACTGTGTGACATCCCATTTCTCAGGAATCAAACAACGCTTGAGCAAACTGTTCTGTTATCTGCTGTTGGTGAACGTTTGTCCTTGAAACTTCCTGAAACCATTCTTCCAAATGACACATGGTGTATATGCTGAAGGGAATTGTGCAGAGAGGGTACTTCATACAGGCAGAGAAATGTGTTTACTCAAAATAACCTGATATAAGATATATTTATATATATATATATGTGATGGCATATTTATATATAAGATAAGATAAGAATAAGAAGTACTTTACTGATCCCAAGTTGGGAAATGTTTGTGTATATAAATATCATATACTATAGCCACAAACTAATAACTCTTAAGCTTTGCTGCACACTATCAATATCAGTGTGTCATGTTAGAGATGTCGCAGCAGACTCTGGAATCACTAGTATCTATTCTACTATCTGCAGTGGAAAACTAAAAAGAGTAAATGAACTGTTTGAGTTGATTTGAGTCAAGCGGTAGCAGGCAGTGTAAACTAGACTAAATGTCCTTAACTTCTCTCTCTTTCACCCACAGAATGGCCAGAATTTGTCTCCAGTTATGCCCCCTGGTGGGCGTCCCATGCTCTGAGCTGGCTGAGGTTTGGCCGCCGCCTGCTGGTGGTGCACTACGAGGAGCTGCAGATGGCTCTGGTCCCTCAGCTGCGTCTCATCACAGCCTTTCTAAATGTCTCCATGACCGAGGAGAGGCTGTTCTGCGCCCAGAGCAACCAGGACGGACACTTCAAACGTTCAGGGGGACAGAGACCCTCTTTTGACCCCATTCACTACTGATATGAGGCAGATGATTGACCCCTTTATTCTTACCGTTGACCAGGCGCTGAAGAGCAGAAACTTTAGCGGAGTTCCACAGGAATACCTTCCCAGATGATGATGATGTGAAAAGGTCATATACTACCTTCAAAAGACTGATCCAGGTGGGGTTGTGACTCTTCATGAGTAAGGGGAACACACACACTCTGTAAGTGGACCACCTGACTCTTTGATAAGACAGACACACTGTGAATGGCTGTAGATGGCCGGAGGTCACTGGAGGAAACATGACAAGTCCTTGTGAAACCCAATGGAATCAGTGATGAAAGCCCCAGTGCCAAGAGCGCCTCGCGAATAAGACGAGTCCTCAGAGAGGATTGGACATGATTTGTTGGCCTGCTGAGGTGGGATTATCTGACAAGTGCCCGACTGCACAAATATGAGTTGGGTAAATCCAGGATGGATTTATTTTGGTTGAAGAAGTTTTTCTGCCACTCTTTTTAATTTTCACTTGGGAACATATATTGTGTTTTAACCTACACACACACTTGGAAATCTGCTGGTTGCTACAGGTTTTGAAGACACTGATGGATAAAAGCCACAAGAGCTGCGTGGACTCTCCATGAAACAGTTCATTGATATGTTTATCATAATGAACTGCTTTAAAACTGTAAACTGCAGCTGGTTTTATGATTATTTTATTTCATTAAAAGCATTCCGTTTCAATTGATTGAAGTTTGCATTTCTTTGAATGTTTCACTTTAATGGACCAAGGTAAGACATTATGACACTCAACCCTAACCCCTGCATCTCAACAGGTTTATGTATTTAACGCTTAACTCCGAGGGACTTCCTCCGACCACTAGGTCTGCATTGTAGTTTTTTACCATTTTTATTATTTCCAATGTTAACTGAATAAATGGTGCCACCTGGAGGCTGAAGTGCGGCAATAGCGTTGACGTTATACTGAGGGCTTGACTAATCGACTTGTTTTCTTTAATTGTACTTCAAAACAATAATAAATGGCTGATCGAGTAATGACATTGAACATCTAAAAAATCTGAGAATGTAGGTAATAGAAATTATTAAGCAAATCAATAGAACCACCGCAACAAAGAGACGTGTGATGATGGGAGACACAATGTCAAGAACCATTTTGAAGCCTAGATTCCTTTATTTAAAAATAAAAAATTGAACATGAACTCAAAATGTACCATGAAGGTCATTTAACATCTATTAACCAAACACAGTGTCATCCACACAGAACATTAAAGCTTCCCAGAGGATCTATTCCACGTCTGTATTGGTTCACTGGTTTTATGATACAATGCTTAGTGACCGTCACAGAGAACAGGCAACATCATCAAAGATCTAAAGGACATTACAATCAGTTTGCAATACTCACAACATGTTTTAGATGGTATTAAAGGGCCCATGTCATGCTTTTCTGGTTCTTACCCGTCCCCTTGTGTGTTATGTAGCTTGTTATGCATGTAAACGGTCTGCAGAGTCACAAACCCTCAAAGTGCACCCTGTAGCGAATAAAACTATAACACAGAAAATACCTGTCTATGCTGCCCCAGAACGCCTTGTTGGAGATTTCTCTTTTTCCATTGTTTGCTTCCTGGGTTCTGTGACGTGCCCATACCCAAATGGACCCATTGGTCCAACAATGGAATTATGATCAGTAGAAATGGCCATGGGACCTTTAAGAAACCATGCCTCAAATCTAAAGTGAAGTTCAATTTCATTTGTACAAGCGAAACAAGAGAAAGGATTTTACAATGACCCTAAGTT